TCCTCCTTCCAATGGATGGATGAAAACATTTTTCAGAATTTGAATCATTTCCTTCTTTCTCGCTAAAATTATGGCCCACATGGGATTTCACTGCTTGAAACAGAGGACCCTGAGCATCCAAATAATGACCAGATGCACTCATGTCTAGCATAAAGACGGCTTCAGCTGTCATCCCGGCCAGTTAGCAGCTTGGGCCGTTGTTGCAGGATTCAGTTACCTTGGGATAAATCGTACCTGTGAGTCCTGCAGGGAGAGCGGTAATGCCCAGGCAAGCCTCTTCTCTGGGGGAGTGGGCTAGGCCCATCTGGAAGCCTTTCTTTTGTCCTGCAAGCTGCCCATTCTCGCAAGCGCTCCTTCTGGAAGTCTTTCCAACAAATGCACTGCTCAGGGATTTCTGCTTCTCTGGGCGCTGACTACCCTTAATGGCCAGGCCTGCATGCTTTAGGGGTATGTGGCCAAGTCGGGTTTCACATACAGTATTTTCATCCCTGCGTCAAGTTGACTAGTCCAAAACCTCCGGCATGGCTTCTTGGTCTTGCTTCGCAAGGTTTTGCACAGGGCTAGGCACCTGAGAAATGTTCAAGAAACTTCTGTTGATTCATCAGTTGATCCAGTGAATGTCCAAGGCAGTCCTGAATGTTCTTAACTGAAACAATTGGGTGGGCGTAGAGCAGACTGTTAGCAGACTTACCTTGCATAATAACTTTTCACTTAGGCCGGGCACGGTGGCTCAAGCCTGTAATCCCAGCACTTTGGGAGGCCAAGGCAGGTGGATCACGAGGTCAAGAGATTGAGACCATCCTGGTCCACATGGTGAAACCCGGTCTCTACTAAAAATACAAAAAATTAGCTGGGCATGGTGGTGCGTGCCTGTAATCCCAGCGACTCAGGAGGCTGGGGCAGGAGAATTGCCTGAACCCGGGAGGCGGAGGTTGCGGTGAGCCGAGATCGCGCCATTGCACTCCAGCCTGGGTAACAAGAGCGAAACTCCGTCTAAAAAAAAAAAAAAAAAAAAACAAACAAAAAAAAAACTTTTCACTTAACTAATTTTCTTTTCTTTTTTTTTTGAGTAGCTGGGATTACAGAAATGCACCACCATGCCCGGCTAATTTTGTATTTTTAAGAGAGACAGTGTTTTTCCATGTAGGTCAGGCTGGTCTCAAACTACCCACCTCAGGTGATTCCCCCCGCCTCGGCCTCCCAAAGTGATAGTATTACAGGCTTGAGCCACCATGCCCGACCCACTTAACTAATTTTCACAGCTCTAGAGAAGTAAAAATTAGAATAACGCCCCTCCTCTTTTTTCCAGAATAAAGACTTTTCACTCCCAAGCACACTAAATCGCATGCTAAATCATAATATTGAAATCATAGTTTCAATATTACAGTTTCAGGCAAAGACACATTCACCAATTTCCCTGACACAACAGTTTCTGTTCAGAGAATCTGAAATAGAACAATTTCGACTTACAGGTCAAGTGTGGATAAATATTTTCTTTTGCGTATATGTGCCATGTAGATGGGGTGAAGAGGTGGCATCTTTTGCTACTCTTTAGTGCAGAGGTTGGTAAACTTTCCTTGTCAAAAGCCAGAGAGGAAATATTCTAAGCTTTGAAGGCCAAAATGTCTCTCTTGCAGAACTACTTAACTTTGCTCTTGTAGCATGAAAGCAGTTATGCACAATCTACAAACAAATAGATGTGACCTTGTTCCATTAAAACTTTATTTACAGGCCAGGCATGATGGTTCATGCTTGTAATCCCAGCACTTTGGGAGGCTGAGGCTGATGGATCACTTGAGGCCAGGGGTTCGAGACCAGCTTGGGCAACATGACAAAATCGCATCTTTACTAAAAATACAAAAATTAGCTGGGTGTGGTGGCATGCCACCTTTAGTCCCAGCTATTCGGGAGGATGAGGCAGGAGGATGGCTTGAACCTGGGAGGTGGAGGTTACCGTGAGTCAAGATCTTGCCACTGCACTCCCTGGGCAACAGAGCGAGACCCTATCTCAATAAATAAATAAATAAGTTGAAAAATAAAAAAGCTTTATTTACAAATACAGGCAGTGGGCCAAATTTGGCCCATGTACTCTTGTTTGCAGACCCCTGCGTTAGTCCTGTGAGCACCAATTATTTCCCTGTTCTGTGAACTTCTTTATTTTGCCCTAAAGGGTTTGTTTGGTTTTTCACTATGCTACTTTAAGTATGGTTTATTTTGAGGGCAAGATTATCATCACCTCCTAAAAGGATTTAAAAAGTAATGCAGAAAATGGCACAGGATGAACAATGTACCTTATAATGACTGATTCTCCCACAGCCCTTCCTCTGTCAGTCCCAGCTACTCTCACGTTTTCCTTCATTCGTTTGGTGAGTAAAAGAAACCTTCATTACATTATATTACACAAAATATGTTTATTTTCAATATTTTGACAATATATTACTTTTGTAGACTTGTTTTCATTGTTCAAGTAATACATTTTAAAATTACTGATTTTAATTTTTTTAATTTTTAATTTTTGTGGATACATAGTAGGTGTATATATGTGTGGGTACCTGAGATGTTTCCATACAGCATGCAATGTGAAATAATCATATGGTGAATGTGGTATCCGTCTCCTCAAGCATTCATCCTTTGTGTTACAAAGAATCCAATGGCAGTCTTTCAGTTATTTTAAAATGCACAATTAAGTTCAATGAGTACATTTTCCTATCTGTGTTTGCATATTTTAGTTTGGGATAGAATGCATCGTAATTTTCCTATTACAGTGAATGGAACTATTTTTGGTTTAATGGCTTTTCACTCAGCAGTTGACCATTCAGCAATGAATTCCTGTTGGTAAGTGATGGGTAGGTATGACTTCAGAGGAAGCTCCACATTGCCCTCACCTCTGGGGGAACTGCAAGTTCAAGGCAGGTGACGGCTACTCCAGCTGGCAACACATGGCCACCATTCAATGTCAGTGGGGACCCTGAAAGTTGTGAGGAGATCAGGAGGAGGAACAAAAGAGGAAAGAAGTGGGTCCTGGTGTCGCGCTTGGGTGATTGTCGTCTCTGTCGTCTCTACAGGAAGCTTTGTCAAGCTGCAGACATGCCATATATGGCAATCATTCCATCCCCTATCTATCCATTTGTGATTTTCCCATGCCACCTGAGACCATTCCTTTGTCTCAGTGTCCTTATTTGTAAATCAGAGTTAAAATGCCTTTGCTATCAAGTATGTAGATTTACCATGAGGTTAAAGGGAGTGTGCTATGCCTATGTGAAGTATTATTGTCAGCTGAGCATTTAGAAGGAATAATTAGGACTTTGAAAGATGACGACCTTCTTCCCCCTCCCTCCGCAGATTAGCATTTGAGGTTCCTGAAGCTGAAGCTGGTTGGTTGTTGTTATTGTTGTTTTTGTATTTTTTTTTTTTTTAGATGGAGTCTTGTTCTGTTGCCCAGGCTGGATTGCAGTAGCGCGATCTCGGCTCAGTGCAACCTTGCCTTCCAGCGATTCTCCTGCCTCAGCCTCCTGAGTAGCAGGAATTACAGGCACCCACCACCACGCCTGGCTAATTTTTGTATTTTTAGTAGAGACGGGGTTTCACCATGTTGGCCAGGCTGGTCTCGAACTCCTGACCTCAGGTGATACACCCGTGTCTACCTTTTGGTTTTTTTGAGACACAGTTTCATTCTGTCACTCAGGCTGGATGACACGATCTCAGCTCACTGCAACCTCCACCTCCCAGGTCCAAGCAATTTTTGTGCCTCAGCCTCCCTGAGTAGCTGGGATTACAGTCGTGCACCACTACGCCCAGCTAATTTTTGTATTAGTAGAGACAGGGTTTCACCACGTTGGCCAGGCTGATCTTGAACTCCTGACTTAGAGGGATCTGCCCACCTCAGCCTTCCAAAGTGCTGGGATTACAGGTATGAGCCACCACTCCTGACCCTGAGGCTGGGTTTTAAGAGTAAGTGGCCAGGGCTAATTTGGATGATTTTTATTGCTCTTATTTCTCCCTTTCGCTGTGAAGGGCCAGGAAATGTCAATGTTGGAGCTGCAACACTGAACATGGCAGACATGATTCCTGACCTTGTGGAGCTCACGGTCTAAGATATATTCTAGAGTCAAGTCCAAAAACTCTTGGGAGAATCCTTTACTAGGGGCCAAAGGCCTGCTAGAATGTGTTATGGAATAACAGCAACAAAATAACATCAACAGCCAACGAGTATGGGATATCAACACACCATGACCTCATAACTTGGGCAAAGGCTTATGATCTTCTGACTTTGCCGCCACATGAAATGAGCCGAAAGTAAGATATGTTATGGAATAAGCCCCAAAACTTGAGAGAATCCCATGCTAAGGGCTTAAGCCCTGACCAAGACAAGCCAAACAGGACCATAAACGAGTGGCCATGTTCTACTGAGCTCATCAGCACCTGCTGAGCGCCTGTGTCATCCCTAAAGCCATGTGTACAGGTTTTGCGTTGAGATAATTGCTCTACTGGTTTCTAGATATAGTTGAGTTCTTTACTCACACTCCCACTGCCCTATGACCTCCAGCAAAACAAAAGCAGGTGGATAGTAACTGTGTTGTGAATTAATGATATCTACATCTGTGGTAACAAAATCTATATCATTTCAGTGGTAGCATTGGAATATCAGTTGCCCTTCCCCATGAAGAAAGCACATTTTTATCATTTAAATCATTATCATGACCAAAAAAATCAAAGACCCAGTCATTCATCAGTCTTTCCAGTGAAATCAATTGCCTTTGTTTTTTGTTTGTTTATTTTTGAGACAGGGTCTCTCTCTTTCTCTCTGTCACCCAGGCTGGAGTGCAGTGGCATGATCTTGACTTACTGCAACCTCACCTCCCAGGCTTCAGCGATTCTCCCACCTCTGCCTCCTGAGTAGCTGGGACTACAAGTGCTTGGCAACACGCCCGGCTAATTTTTGTATTTTTAGTACGAACAAGGTTTCACCTTGTTGGCCAGGCTGGTCTCGAACTCCTGGCCTCAAGCAATCTGCCTGCCTCAGCCTCCCAAAGTGCTGGAATTACAGGCATGGGCCACCGCGCCGGGTCTGAAACCAATTGCCTTTGAATTCATTCTGGGGAATCTGCTGAAGTGGACACTTCATGTAAACACAAAAACATCCTAATTAATGGCTGCCTCAATGGGAGTGGCAGACAAAACACATGGGTGAACTTTTCGTCGAAAGCATGCAAGGAAAAAAATCTCTCATATCTTTTGTAGTTGCTAATAACTTAATTCACACATTTGTATGTGTGTGTGTGTACAATTCTCAGTACCACAAAGAGGAAGTGCTTTTTCTCCTTCCTTTAACAAAAAGTTCCAGTTCAAACCATCAGCCTCTGTAGGTTGTCTTAATTGCTACTTTGCACTGCACTGGACTATGACTGATTTTTGGCACATGCTATCATACACAAAGTTCCTAAAATAAAATGCTCCAGGATATCCTAGGAACTCTTAGAAGGCTTTAAAAAGGGACTCACACACTGAAAGAATATCTTTGATGAAGACAATTCAGGCAAGCAGAATGATTCTTGCAACAGAATTACATGATTAATTGAGATCTTGAAGTGCGTCCGGCGAATCCTGGCCACCTAACTTATCATGATTTGGGGGAGTTTCACAAGAATCCAGTTTTGATAAAACAATTGTTTTTTTCCTCCCCAAGTGACTATACATTTAAATAGCTAAAACATCTGTTCAGCAACATACTAAAACATGTATACTCGGAACGCTTGAGAGAAGAGCCTGCCAAACAATCGGTTGAGAGGGACTTTGCTGAGGGAGAGCACCAAGATAAAGCAACACTGTTTTGTCTAGTCAGGGGGAAAGACAAGGCAACCAATATTTTGGATTTTATAATTTTCATTTGTGAAGAATTATTTGAGAAAGGGTGGCGAGGGGAGATTTCCTGACGGGAGACTTTTAAGCTGTCCATTAGTAGAAGAGCAAGAGAGCCTTGGATGTCAACGCCTCGGTCTTGAGACCAGCCACCAAACCACGAAAAGTGACTTTCTTCTCGTGTGTTCTCTACGACCCTTCTGATGGAAGCAGAAACAGGGAGCGGTGTGGAGACTGGAAAGAGGGCCAACAGAGGCATTCGAATTGCCCTGGCCGTGTTTGTTGGTGGCACCCTAGTTCTGGGCACGATCCTCTTTCTAGGTAAGTGGAGTGCAGGAGGCTGGGGGAACCGGGTGTGTGCTGAGACGTTTCCTTGTGCTTTATTGTAGCAAAACTTGTCATAACACAGGTACATGGCTGTTTGCCTGTGTTCGTAGGTGGTGCATCTTTAGTTCTATCAAATATGCAAATGAAAAAGAAGCCTTTTTAAAGATGCCTAAATAAATAAATACACCCAAGTACCAAATGTATAGTCCAGAAGGCAAAGTGGGTGTAAGTGGCTTCGAGTGGCTGGCTGATTCTGTTGCATTAGGCAGAAAAATTTTTATGTGGTACGTTTAGCAAAATTAGTGTTTATGAATTCATAGTCACGTAGCTTCATTTATATTTTGAGGGAAGACTTTACATAGATTTTGATGAAAACCATGCTGGAGTTTCTTTCCATTTGACTTTTATTAATGTTTGCCTGAACAAATCATGAAATGTAATTCACAAAACACAAATCAGTCCTTTAAAGTGCACTTTTAATGATATTCTTCAACTCCTTTCTTATCCAGTGACTCTGATGAGATGCAGTTTGATTTATAAATGAATATGAAGGAAACAGAGGTTTCCCCCCAAGATTTGAAAGATATTGTGATTCAATTATTTTAATGACTCTTGGTGAGAATGATGTACCCAGAGAGTATATAGGATGATAGAAGTGTATTCCTATGAAAAAGAATCAAATATCTTGGAAAGGAGTGAGGGATTTTCGAAAACTCCAGGCTTTCTGAACCCTTGACTATTACCATTTTAATTTTTCTCATACAACACAAAATACTTCATTAGCCTGAATGTTATGGAGGAGATTCGAGGTGCAATTTGAAATGTAGCAAACCTGGAAACATTCCTTGGCATATACAGGATTGCAGGAGGACATGTTTATTTTGGCAGAGGTAAACCAGTAATTAAACTTTAAAAGAGTTAGGGTTGTTTGGTTGAAAACTCTGCTAAAATGAGCAAACCATCTTCCCATGTTTTCTGTGGCTGAAGATTTAGGAAATTAGATGGGTTTATTGCTTTCTGGTAAACCTAAATCTCCTACTCCTGCAACTGAATCTGTGGCTCTTGAAAACTCTTGAGATTTCTCAGCACTTAGGGCTTAGACAAGGTCCTCTGCTGAAATTCAAAATGAGAGGAAAAATTCTATGGGCAATTCAAAAGACTACGAGATGTGTGGAATGTGACTGCAAGGTTAGGTTTTGCAAACCCTCCCAAACTTAAAAATCCAAATAATTATTGTTTATGTAAAAATATGTACTCTTTCTAATGGTATTACCACTACACGAAACTTTTACAAAACTCCACTTTTATGATTATATCCCAAGGCCATGGCATATTCATTGAAAGATTCTCCATGGCAGCAAATCTTTGTTCTATCAGAGAAAATTATTCTTGGGAAACAGTGCCAGTGTTTTTAGAGCAAAGTAAAATTCATCAAGCCAGACACTGCTATTATGGATAAGGAGGACTGCATAAAATATGAAAGAGAACTTCCCAGCATGCCCTGTAACCTGGCTCTCACCTTGACTCTCTAGTCTAAGAAGAGCTCAAATGATGTTAGAGAATAAGGGCAAACGAAGGCTGTGGCCTCAACGTCTTTGCTTCTCAAAATGGGGTCTGTGGACCAGCAGCATCACTATCATTGGGGAGCTTGAGCGACACCCCAGATCTGCTGATTTAGTCTGCATTTCCACAAGACCCCCAAGGGATTGTTTGCAAATACAGGTTTAAGAAGCATTGCTTCAGGTGACCACATCTATTTGGATGTATACATTCAGGGACACTTCTTTTTGTCAAATATTTCTGCACTATTTTAGAATTCCCCCTTTCCCCCCATCCTCATCCCTCCCCTCGGCTCTGCCACCCACCTCCACTCTGTACCCAGTCAAAGTGCTTGTCTGAAAGACTCCAGGGGCCTACTCAGCAATGCTCTTTGTGACAATATTCTAGTTAGGGTCATCTTCTCTTCAAGGGCTTCCTGGTTGACTTTGAGGTATGTTTCTCTGCCTGTCCACGTTCACTTACATGCCTACAATTTCCAGCATCCGTTCTTACTAACTCTTCTTTTTATCTGAGGCTCCAGGATAATCTGTCTTCGAAACCTTACTGCTTCTACAGTAAGAGTGATTGCCAGGGGCCTCGCGGTGGCTTCAGAGAAGCTGCAGAGCACTAGAATGGAAAACATATTTGCCTGCAACCAGTTTATTTATTTTCAAGTGTCCTTTCTTCTTCTCCTTCCCTTCTTCTTCCTCCCCACAATCTGTTTCTCAGATGCAGTGGCCGGCAAACTTTCTGTCAAGGGCCAGATAGTAAATATTTTCGACTCTGTGGGCCATACGGCCTCTGTTGCAACGACTCAGTTCTGTTGTCATTGCACAAAAGCAGCCATAGACAATATGTACACAAATGGGCATGGCTGTGTGCCAAGCAAATCTGCTTTCTAGACACTGAAATTGGAATTTTATGTACTTTTCATGTGTCATGAAATATTATTTTTCTTTTTCTTTTTCCCAACCATGAGAAAAATGGAAAAGCCATTCATAGCTCAATGGGCCGTACAGAAACAGGCAGTGGATTTGGCCATTCTTACGCTCTTGATCTGTGGATGACTCCCCTGTATCCTGAGGGCATTTCCTCTGTTTATGGAGAAATCTACAATGAGAAACCAAATTGCCATTTACATGTATCTTTTAAAACTCCTAACCATTCAAAAGTAACATTTTAATTTTTATATCAAAAATATTTTCTTGGCCGGGCGTGGTGGCTCATGCCTGTAATCCCAGCACTTTGGGAGGCTGAGGTGAGTGGATCACCTGAGGTTTGGGGGTTCAAGACCAGCCTGACCAACATGGAAAAACCCCGTCTCTACTAAAAGTACAAAATTAGCAGGGCATGGTGGGGTATGCCTGTAATCCCAGCTACTTGGGAGGCTGAGGCAGGAGAACTGATTGAACTCAGGAAGCAGAGATTGCGGTGAGCCGAGATTGCGCCATTGCACTCCAGCCTGGGCAATAAGAGCAAAACTCCGTCGCAAAAGGAAAAAATTTCTTTATTATCTCTATTTCATTCACTTACACCTTTACATTATCTGGGTTTGTTGATTATCATTTATTTGCTGGATTTTAAAATAACCCCATCCATGGAGATAATGCTCTTCCTTGAAGGGTTGGGTCTGTCGGTGTCCCACTTAAATATATATATATATATATATATATACATATATATATTTGTTTTGGTTTTTTGAGACGGAGTCTCTGTCACCCAGGCTGGAGTGCAGTGGTGCAATCTTGGTTTACTACAATCTCTGCCTCCTGGGTTCAAGCAATTCTCCTGCCTCAGCCTCCTGAGTAGCTGAGATTATGGGCATGCACCACCACGCCCAGCTAATTTTTGTATTTTTAAGTAGAGATGGGGGTTTCACCATGTTGGCCAGGCTGGTCTTGAACTCCTGACCTCAGGTGATCTTCCTGCCTTGGCCTCTCAAAGTGGTGAGAATACAGGCCTGAGCCACCACGCCCAGTCTAATTAATTATATTTAAAACATTCATTCTATTCATTGTTAGATAAAGATACTTGATTTTATTTCTTCCTCTGAAGTTTTGGGTCAAGAATTATTTCTCATGAAAGGAATAAGTCTTTAAATAATGATTTTATTAGCTCTTTTGTTTTTTAAAATAAGGCTAGGATCAAGAAGATATTGTCCAGAATTATAAAAATATTATTATTGTTTACAATAAAGCTTATTTTTGCATTATTAAAAAGAACACATGCTCACTAAAGAACATTAGGTCAACATATGAAAACTGACTGATGGGGAAAATTCCCCCCGTGGTTCTACCACCCAGGCCTATTGGAAGACTGCACACTAATCTTTATGCTGCTCATATATATTTTTTTACCTACCTTTTTTTTTTTTTTTTGCTTTATATAAAAATCAAAACACACCTTTTTGCTAAGGTGTGCTTTCTTAAAAATAGGCCTGAGATGTTCCGTAGGCAGTTTTTTTGAATCTATAATGTAACACATGCAAAGAGGCTGGAGGATGACAGCACAGAAAAGAACAAAGAAAAAGCAGGCTCCATTTAGAGCGTGGGTTAGTAAATATTAAAAACTCGCCACACTGGCTAGTCATCTACAGGTCTTCCATCTCTAGCAGAAATATAGATACTGCCAAGCTTTCCGATACTGCCACAAAGAGCCTTGGTCCCCATTCGCCTCCCACCATCCCTCTCACCGTGGCCATATCTCCAGATGATTCATTGTTTCTGCTCACAGAGCACAGCAAGAATGAATTCCCCAGAATTTCCTCAGCTACCACAAATATTTCTGAAATCTTAAATTCGCATCTGCTAATGCCCAGGTGCTACCTGGAGTTGACAAATTGGGCACCCTTCTGTACTTCAGGAGAAATCTATTTAGATAATGTTGTCCGCCAGATGGGGACAATAAACCATTGGTGAAAAGCTATCTCAATTTTAGACTTTTTTGTGGGGTGGGAGAAGGAAGAAGTAGCTGGAAGCTTGGTCCACAAAGTTGCAAATGTCTGGTCGCTAAGCTGGGCCTGGTGGGTGGAGGGTTTGTGGGGTTGAGAGAGAGCAGGCGGACAATAACGGTTGCTATTAACAGGTGATTGAGATACGTTCAGGATGTTCCTTACCCCTACCCCTTTTTTGGTCCATATCTGTATGGATGGTTTAGATAAGATCCAGAACTCTAAAAGCCACACATGCTAGCTTTCTATTTCCACTCTGATTGGCTCCAAATGACATAGTTTAAAAGTTTCAGTTTTCCCATCTTGAATATGGGCATGGAGTTATAACCAGTAGAGTGAAAGTATGAGACTTAAACCACAGATAATGGACGTTGAAGTGACTTGAGAGATTATCTGGACCACTGGTGCTCGTGCTTGAGCATGTATCCGAATCACCTGGGGGGCTTGTTAAACTGCAGATGGCTGGGCCCCAATCCCAGGGTTTCTGAGTCAAGATCTGGAGTGGCTTTCTGACAAGCTCCCAGGTGCAGTAGCAGTAGCTGCTGCTGCTCTAGAGACCACGCTCTTAGGAGCGCTGATCTGGTTATACTTACTTATCTTACAGAGGAGAGAAACTGAGTTTCAAAGCAACCCACACTTTTACCAAAGTTATTTAGCTAGCAACTAGAGTTTGGCTCCGTGACATTGAACCTACTGGGTTTTTGAATACTGCATCAACACTGAGAAGGATGAACTGATATCAAATGTCTTGCATATGTTTCCAAGGGTGGTTTACTCGATGGTGGTCTGCTACGAGTCAGCCATTTATTTTGGTCTGTTTTTTCAGTGAGTCAAGGATTCTTAAGTCTCCAAGCTAAACAGGAGTACTGCCTGGAGCCAGAATGCATCGAAGCTGGTAAGTCACAGTTTTCCATCCTGTGTCAAGTTATAATTATGGTACCTTGGGGAGTGGAAGAGAAAACAGGTGGTATTTTTAGTATTCTGTTTGCTTGAGGTTTACCAAGCACGAAATGCAATTTTGAAGAAATTTTAAGTTTACTTTCAAGTTTTGGTGTGAAATAGTGGAGCTTAGGTTTCCTGTTTTCTTTTTCCTTGCAAAAAACAGCTGTGGTATTCTAAGCGTTGTTACAAGGAAATCAGAAAGGGGCTTCGAAGGCTGAATGGCTTCTCTTAAGACCCACAGGCGGAGAACACTGGTCTTCCTATGGCTCTGCTGGCTATAAATTCCTCTTTACCTTAAGCCGTTGTATAATTTCTGGTCTGTGGGCCACACTTGCCTGCCTCTAAGCAAGGCTCCTTTATAAATAAATCCATGCTTCCATTGTCAGTGGGAATTCTTTTTTTTCTCTTTTTTTAAATTGAGATGGAGTCTTGCTCTGTTGCCCAGGCTGGCGCCATCTCAGCTCACTGCAATCTCTGCCTCCCAGGTTCAAGTGATTCTCGTGCCTCAGCCTACCGAGTAGCTGGGCTTACAGGTGCCTGCCATCACACCTGGCTAAGTTTTGTGTTTTTAGTGGAGACGGAGTTTCACGATGTTGGCCAGGCTGGTCTTGAACTCCCAGCCTCGTGATCCGCCCACCTCAGCCTGCCAAAGTGCTGGCATTACAAGTGTGAGCCACCACGCCAGCCGGGAATCCCATTTTTTTCTGTTCCACATTGCAAGTCAAACTTCTCTTGAAGTGACCAGTCTGTGTTATCAGTGGGTACCCCAAGGTGAAGATGAGGGCTTAAGGTTGCCTCAGTTTTGCCACACTGTCTTACCCCATCGAACTTGTGGCTGGAGTTGCCCCAAAAGCAGCGACAGGAACTTCCCAGGAGGGAGTACCCTAAACCATCCCAAGATGGGGCCAGTTAGGATTCTAAAGAAAGAAGCATTAGGAGAGACAGTGGGGGGTGGGGAGGGATAACATGGGGAGAAATGCCAGATATAGTATGCACCTAAAGTAAAATAAAAAAAAAAAAAGAAGCATTGAATAAATGCCAGGGTGGCCAGTCAGTCCAAAGCATTTATTATGGCAATTTACATCGAAAGTGCTGCAGTGTATCCTCAAGACAGAGAAAACGAGTGTTCTACTTAGGTATGTCTGCAGTCGGGGCATTAGGGTGTGGAGACTATTTGAGGGTTAAAGGAATTTGGATCAGAGGCGGCACTAGTTGCTTTGAAAGTTTTGTGCATCAACCTAGATACCTTTATCAGTGCTTGGGAATGTTCAAGGGTCCAGTTTAGGCCTAAGCCTGCTGGGAAAAACTTGCAGCTGGAATTATCCGGGCGTAGCGGCTCATGCGTATCATCTCAGCTACTCAGGAGGCTGAGGCATGAGAACTGCTTGAGCCCAGGAGGCGGAGGTTGTGGTGAGCCGAGGTCGTGCCGTTACACTCCAGCCTGGGTGACAGAGAGAATCTCTCTCAAAAAATAAAAGAAAACAAACTTGCAGCTTACTGGGTCACAGAATGGTCAAAGTACTCTGCAATTTTTTGTTAGGACACCGAAAGTGGGGCTACCTAGGGGTCCCATACACAGCTGTTAGATTTCCCTCCTACATCAGCATTAGGGCCTAGATTTGAGGGAGCCAGACTTTAGCCCTCACCTTCACTCTTTAAGTGGGCAGGGACACTTTTTTCCTTTTTCCAAAAGGAAAGTCATCAAACAAGTTGAGCATGTGGCCCTTTGACCTTCCTCTTGGCCTTAAGGGGTTAATGAACAAATTCACCAAATATTTACTGAACACCAGATTCGGAGTTAAGTTTTGAAATTGAGCAGTGAACCAGATATGGGGAGAAAGACAATAAGGCAATTTATGCAACAAGAAAATTATCAGACTGGGCATGGTGACACGAGCCTTTAGTTCCAGCCACTTGGGAGGCTGAGGCTTGAGCCCTGGAGTTGTAGGCCAGCCTGGGCAAATTAGTGAGATCCCCATCTCTAAAAGAAAGAGAAAACTATCAGTCAGTGGAACATGTTATAGAGAAAATTGAAATATTAAAATAGAATAATGTGAGAGCAAGTGACAGGGTGGCTAGATTGAAAAGCCGGGGGACATGACCTTGGAGGTGACCTTTGAATGATGAGAAGGGAACTGCTGTGTGAAGACTGAGGCAGGGGCTCAGTCTTTCCCCCACCTTTCCGGGTGGGGGAAAGAGGTGGGGCAAAGAGCACACAGAAGCTTGAACTTGGTGGACTTGAGGAACAGGAGGAGCTTGCTAGATGAGGTGCAAGTGATGGGGAGTCAATGGGGGTCCCAAGTGCCAGTGAGTTTGGGCTTTGCTTAAGTGGGCTAAAAACCCTCTGGAGGCTTTTATGAAAGGGAGTACATCTTATGAGCATTTAAAAAGCTGTCTTGGTGGAGAGCTCCATTAGAGGGAGTTTTTCTCAATGGAGAAGAGACCATAGCGAGCAAGAATAGAAGAAGGTGGCCCAGGTAGGCGGTTTATTTCCATATGCCAGGTAACAGGCGATGCTGTCTTGAATTCAAGAGATGTAGAGGGAGAATGGGGGGAGGTTCTGGAGGTAGAGGGCCTAATGAGGGATTCGATGTGGGCTGTGAGCAAAAGCAGACAATTGGGGATGATGCTTAGATTTTTGGTGATGGTTGAGTGGTGGTGTTTATTGAGATGGGAAACTGAAAGAGCTTGTAAACTCTGAGACCTTATATAAGGGTATAAGGGTAGTGAGTTAGGTAATTACATTAGTAGAGTTCTTTTTTTGTTTTATTCTTTTTCTTCTTCTCTTTTTTTTTTTTTTTTGAGATGGAGCTTTGCTCTTGCTGCCCAGGCTGGAGTGCAATGGCATGATCTCAGCTCATTGCAACCTCCGCCTCCTGGGTTCAAGTGATTCTCCTGCCTCAGCCTCCTGAGTAGCTGGGATTAGAGGCACCTGCCACCATACCAGGCTAATTTTTGTATTTTTAGTAGAGACGGGGTTTCACCATGTTGGTCAAGCTGTTCTCAAACTCCTGACCTTGTGATCCACGGGCCTCGACCTCCCAAAGTGCTGGGATTACAGGAGTGAGCCACGGTGCCTGGCCTTTTGTTCCATTCTTGAGTGATCAATATTATGTATATTTTTTAACTAGGCTGTACGTTAGGTGACTTATAGGCACCATCTCATAAAACCTTCATGAGACCCCCTATGAAGTTAGTGCTGTCACCAGCCTCACTTGCCGACGAGGAAATGGAGGCTTCTAGAGGCTAAACAACTGCCCAGGGTCGCATCCTGAGTTAGCAGAGCCGGGCTTCATGTCCATGTCTGGCTCCTTTCCATCTTTTCCTTGGTGATATGGGGCCATGCCAGGCAAGACCCTGGAACGATTTGGGAACTCCCAGGCCCTTTCCTGTTCCAGGATTGAGTTGTTGACCTGGGGTTTTCTCCAGTGGTGAGAGGATGTCATGGAGTAGGGTGTATCCATCAGGGCAGGTTTTAGAGTTGATGTCGCCTGGTGCTTTGGCTGTGGTAGGGTTCTTGCAATGTGTGAAATGGGAATGTTTGAGCTCATAAATTTTCAGCTTGAGTTTAGAACACTTTTTGGTATGGAGGACCACTTATTTTGTGAGTTTTAATGTGGGATTATGAAATCATAATGCAAGACTAAAACTTACAGACTGACATTCAAGAAGGTTGCCTCCTGCCTTCCCTCGCTGTTCTGTTTTTAATTTTCACATTGGCAAATGGCTTTCTAATGTTGGGAAAAAAAAACAAACATTGATTTTGCTGTTTCTGTAGTGAAAGATTCACCAAAGACACAGTTCTTTTGAGTGTAATGTGACCCTCAGTGTGCCCAGGGGTCTGCGGAACAGCTGCTGAGTACATGTGTCAGGAGAATTGTGGCCAAATCAGGGCCTTGAACAAGAGGCTGTGCGTGCATGGGCGTGCACGCTGACGGTTGAGAAGAGCAGAGTGTTTGGTCGCCTTCTGGACCGTTTCTCAGCAGGTGCCAATCATTTCTGAGATGCTTCCTCTCCATAACTCCTCTCCTCTGTGTCCTCTTATTGTAATCCCTCTTTCAAAATAAGAGCTGTACAAAGAATGCAAAGAAACAAGGAAGGGGCATGGATGCTTATATCACAGACAAGGGCAGACAGGCTAACTGGGTTTGAAGCATGATCTAGCTATTTACAAGCCACATGATCCTGGGTGAAATAAATAGCCTCTCTAAGCCTCAGTCTCACCATGTGTAAAATGGGAATAACAGTTTTTACTTAGTGTGAGAATAAAAGAAAATAATAATGGGCTGGTCATGGTGGCTCACATCTGCAATCCCAGCATTTTGGGAGGCCGAGGCGGGCCGAATCACTTGAGGCCAGGAGTTTAAGATCAGCCTGGTCAACATGGTAAAACCCTGTCTCTATTAAAATTACAAAAATTAGCTGGGAGTGGTGGCACATGCCTGTAATCCCAGCTACTTGGGAGGTGGAGGTTGCAGTTCAGCCTGGGCAACAGAGTGAGACTCCATCTCAAAAAAAAATAAATAAATAAATAAATAAAGAGAAAGAAGAAAATAATAACAGTAGTGGCAGTATTCTAAATTCACAATGCTGACTCTTTTTTTGTTTTTTTGAGGCGAAGTTTTGCTCCTGTTGCCCAGGCTGGAGTGCAGTGGCCCCATCTCCACTCACTGCAATCTCCGCCTCCCAGCTTCAAGCAGTTGTCATGCCTCAACCTCCCAAGTAGCTGGGATTACAGGTGTGCGCCACCACGCCCAGCTAATTTTGTATTTTTAGTAGAGGTGGGATTTTTCCATGTTGGTCAGGCTGGTCTCAAACTCCCAACCTCAGGTGATCCACCTGCCTTGGCCTCCCAAAGTGCTGGGATTACAGGCGTGAGCCACCGCGCCCAGCCCACAATGCTGATTCTTAGCCCCAAACCCAGTAAACATTGTAACTCAGTTGGCAAGATGG